TAAAAGTTAATTATACAGTCAGTTTCACTTTTAAGGCACAAACTTTCAACAAAATTTAAGGCACAATAAAAATCTCAAATTAAGGCACAAAATTCAGATTCTAGTAAAATAAATTGTAAAAAAAAATAATTACAAATTTTGTGCCTTAATTTGAGAGTTTTTTGTGCCTTAAATTTCGTTGAAAGTTTGTGCCTTAAAAGTGAAACTGACTGTAAAATAAAAAAAATCTTGTGAAAAAGAAAAAGCAAATCACAAAAAAAAATAAAAAAATAAATTAGAAAAAATAAATTTGATCTAAAAAATATAAATTTATTTTGAGGGGAATAACGATAAAAAATATAGAATTAATTCCATTTATCAATAAAACTAGAATACTTTGACTCTAAGAATATGTATATAAGCTAAATTTCAAAAATAGTGTCATCATTACAGTCAGTTTCACTTTTAAGGCACAAACTTTCAACGAAATTTAAGGCACACTAAAAATCTCAAATTAAAGCACAAAATTCAAATTCTAGTAAAATAAATTGTAAAAAAAAAAATTCCAAATTTTGTGCCTTAATTTGAGATTTTTTTGTGCCTTAAATTTCGTTGAAAGTTTGTGCCTTAAAAGCGAAACTGACTGTAGTATTTTCTAAATTATTGGTATGTGTGTTGTGTTAACCAAATATTCTGAACCCAATATCTTTTAAAAGTCATTATTGAATACAGTCAGTTTCACTTTTAAGGCACAAACTTTCAACGAAATTTAAGGCACAAAAAAAATCTCAAATTAAGGCACAAAATTCAGATCTTAGTAAAATAAATTGTAAAAAAAAATAATTACAAAATTTGTGCCTTATTTTGAGAGTTTTTTGTGCCTTAAATTTCGTTGATAGTTTGTGCCTTAAAAGTGGAACTGACTGTATTTAATATCAAGAAACAATCTTCTTTTTATGAAAATTTCTCAAAGTTGAATTCATTTTTTTGCAATTTTTCTTTCAAAATGATTCGATATTTTTATTTTTATGTTGAATGAACAAGAACATTTTTGAAAACCGTTAATATTCAAGAGATGAGATTAATTAGCATTGGGGAAAGGGATTGTAAAATTCAAAGAAAGTAAAACACCCAAGAAGTGTTTGCTTCGAAAACAAGTATCAACCAAATTTGTTTTAATGAGTTACAATGGTTCCTTGAAAAGTGAAGAAATAGCAAGATCAAATAAGATCTTCTTTTCTCTTTCATTTGGAGACAATGTGATGAATGTGATCGTATTCATTTTATCTTTGAGTTCTTTGTTGTACATTCAAAAAAATTGGTTTTGTTTTTTGTTTTCTTTTCTTTTCTTTTTCTTTTTCTTTTTCTTTCTTTTGTTGAGATTCTTTTTATCTTGAAAAAGGTATCAAGGAAAGTTTGGGTTGATACCAAATGGGTGAATAGTAAAAATCTGATAACTCTGATGGAAAGTTTTTTCAAAAGGTTCTTGGAAGCAATGGTGAATCACAAATGGATAATTTTTAAGATGAAAAATCATTTCAAAAATAGGGTCAGATTTATTTTTTTTCTTAATGGGTTTCTTTTCTCTATTCTTTTATTAGAAATAATAATTAAAACAGAAAAGAGTGTTTTAGACAGTTATTTTTAAGTTTTAAGTTCTGATTTTTCTGGGTTGAGTTTTGGTATTCACTAAATGAGAAACTACATTTTTTTTCAATCAAAAATTTGCCCCTATTTTTGAAATTAAGCTTATATATAACTCCATTTTACTCACGGTGGGCATTAAAAAAAAAATTTACTTTTTTTTTGAAGAATAAACCAAAACAAGATTGTTTAGAAATAAGAGAAATAATAAAATTCGGGTTAGAGTCGATAATTATAAACAACATATCTGTACAGACAATAAATTTCAAAAAAGGAAAAGCAAAGATTAAAAATTTTGGTTACTTTCATTGGAATGTCTCTCGTAAAAATTTTTAAATTTCTTTAGAAAATTAAAATTGTATACTTAAAATTTTTTTAATTTGTAAATGTATTCGTTTTAAGAGAAATTAAAAAGTCTCAACTTTATTAATTTTAATTTGGATTTTAAACATTTTTATTCAAATTATATTATTACAAAATAAAAATAAAAAAGAAAAGAAGAAAAAAAAATCAATTATGAAAAAAACAAAAAAAACTAAATGAAAAAAAATGATCAGATTTGAAAATTGAAAAGTTTATTTTGAGAAGAATAATAAATTAAACTCATAGAATATATTCTATTTCTTCAATAAAAAGGCGAGCTTTGACTAAAAAAGAGTATATATAAATATGTGTGCGTGTGTGCGTGTGTGTACAGCAGTTCCTACAGTGTCGTGAAATATATGAGAAACGGAAAATTCATTTTCTGTATCATATTTGCCTTTTTATGACAGGATTTTATTGTTATGCGATCGTAAATTACAAACTGTGAAATTTAATAATAAATCCAAAATAACACAAAGAGTAAATACAGTCAGTTTCACTTTTAAGGCACAAACTTTCAACGAAATTTAAGGCACAAAAAAAATCTCAAATTAAGGCACAAAATTTGGAATTTTAATTTTACAATTTATTTTACTAGAAGCTGAATTTTGTGCTTTAATTTGAGATTTTTTTTGTGCCTTAAATCTCGTTGAAAGTTTGTGCCTTAAAAGTGAAACTGACTGTATTAAAATTTGAATTTTTGAAGATAAACCTTACGAAAGATTAATAATTTAGTTAAATTTTTCGGTTTTTTAGTGGATCCTTTATTTCTAAAGACCTTAAAATCAAAAGGTAAGACCATTTCATAGAAATCATCAAATTCTATCTTCGATCTTTTGAAGTTTTATTTCAATATATGAATTTATTTCCTAAATAATAAGATTTTAATCTCAAGTCTTTCAAATTTGAATTTTTTTCAAAAAAACCTACAGTCAGTTTCACTTTTAAGGCACAAACTAGCAACGAAATTTAAGGCACAATAAAAATCTCAAATTAAAGCACAAAATTCAAATTTTAGTAAAATAAATTGTAAAAAAAAAAATTACAAATTTTGTGCCTTAATTTGAGATTTTTTTGTGCCTTAAATTTCGTTGAACGTTTGTGTCTTAAAAGTGAAACTGACTGTATGTCAAAACCTAAAATGTATATGATAGCGTATAACCGAAGATTTTTTTTGTATTTAACTGGGACAAAAAGTCAATTTCTATGTCTGGTAAATTTCACAGTAGATTTGGCACGAATGTATATAGGTATGTTGGCTCAATTTCAAAAATAGGGGCAGATTTTTCATCGGAAAAAAATTTGTTTATTTGTTTTTGTTTTTGAAAAATAATGTATTTTACTAAAGTTTTTAGAGATAACAACCAAGATAGAGTAATAAATAACAATATAGGGTAATCATTTTATTTTTCAAAAGACAAATGAAACAAGAAAAAACTAATAATAATCAAGTTTTCCCTAATTTTGAAATTTGGCTTATGTATGTATAATAAAAAATATGAAATTTAATTTTATACTTAAGTAAGACAAAATTTTAAAATGTATGTCCAATACCTCTTTTCAAAAAATATTTCACATGATTAAATTCGATTAAACTTTTAAAATGGTTAAAAATAAAAAGCCTGCCAGGTAAAGTTATTCATAATATATTTAAAAGTATTTGGGGGTTTATGGGTTTTATAGATACTTAATTTTATAAATTATAAATTTAGTGATATATAATAGTTAAATAATAATTGTTTTATGCATGTTCAAAACTACAGACTACTGGGTATAAAACTAGTCTCAAATAAATCGCTTCTTTATTTTTTTCTTGTTCTGAAATCACATAAGGTATTTCCAAAAAAGCAGTGCATTTTTTTTTTACATTTCCTAAAAAATCCTCTTTGTTGGTGAAAGTATTCGTTAATTGGAAATACCAAATTAAGTTTAATATTAATACCGATCGAATCAATTTATTGGGTATTTATTTCAATTAATATATTTGATGAAATATTTCCAAAAAATGAAAAAAAAAAATACTACTTTTTTTGGTGAAAACGATGTACAACCAATTTCAATAAGAAATAAAAATTAGGATTGAGTAAACTTGATTTTTTAAACAGTCAAACACAGTTATATGTTTTGATTTCTATTTGAAAATATATTGAGATTAATCAAGTTATCAAAACGATTTTTTCAATCAAAACAAAAATAATAAATCGCAATTTTAACACCTAACATATATCAGATAAAATTGAGATCAAAAAATTTAATATCTTTTCTTTATGTAATGCAATACTAAGAAACAAATTAAATTTTCTCAGAAATATATAAACGGTGGTTAATGATTTTGTATATTTAAATAGGTTTTTGAAGATTGGGTTTAATAAATATATTTGAAAATAAATTTGCCCCACTTCATTGGAAATAGCTTAGAGTTAATTGTCCAAAGGTAAATCCGGTTAAAATATTTTTTGAATTTAAAAACCTTGATATTTTTGAGAAACGGTTAAATTAGGAAATTTATTTTGATTGTTTTTGTAATTTTCGAATTTTTATTAATATATTTTTTTGAGGATCAAAAACTTTTAAAATTAACTTTATTTTTTGAGAACAAATTTTATAATTTAATACTTTATTTTTAGAATTTCATTTGATAAGGAGAGTACTTACAGAAACCAATATCATATTTGCTGTTTGTTTATGGTTTGTATTATTTTTAATATAATTTTTAGGCTTTGTTGAACAATAGGCAACTTTAGTATGTTTATTAGTTTTTTCTTGTATTCATTGTTTTTTTTGGAAATATGTTTATATTTTATTGTTATTGAATTTTATTTTGATATTTTTGTTTATTGTTTGAACTATTTTTTGTGGTAAAATTCAAGTTTAATTTTGTTTTGAGTTCTTTTAAGGAATAGACTTTTAAGATCAAAAAAAAAACTAAAATTTTTTCTTTATCTGAATCTTATATTAAATACATTAATATGAATCCTATATTAAATACATTAATATGAATCCTAAAAATGTATAGTCTTGTGGCGCAGTGGTAGCGCGTTCGCTTTACACGCGAAAGGTCCACGGTTCGAAACCGTGCAGGACTATATTCTTCTTTTTTTTAACTTTTTTACAACTAGAGAATGAGATCTCTTTAATCTTCAATTTGGTTCCTGGCCATTCGTTCTTTAAAGTTCGATCCTATGACTTTTTTTTTTATCTTGCATTTAAATATGCAATCCTTTCTCAATTTTTTTAAAAAGAAAAAAAACAAGAATAAAAAATTAATTTTATGTTTGAACATTTTTGAAGTGTTAGTCTAACTTCAAAGTACCTTACCAATCCTCAAAAATTCTTTAAATTTGATATTTATCAATAAATTAATTAACAATTTTCAATAAAATCATTTGTTATTGTTCTTTTTCTTAAATTAGTTTTAGGTTTAGGGGTAAATTTCAGAACAGATACTTTCTAGATATGATTGATTTTGGTTTTTTGGTTCTGCTAGTTACTTTACCTCTCACTCTTATTACTAGGTTTTGTGTCTTTTTATTTCAAAAAGTAAAATTTTTAAAAATATTTTGTTGGAAGATTTTCAAAACCAATAAACAAGTTTTGAAAGTATTTGGTTTTCAAGATTTTTTCTTCAAGGTTGATCTAAAAAAAATGTCTACTATCAAAAATTGTCAAAGAAAAGGGAGAAAATCTTTGACTCAATTATCTCAGATCAAAACACTTACACCAAAAAGGACTTCCTAATTTAATTAAATTGATAAAGAGAACTTTTCTGTTGAAACAAGAATCTGAAATCTGCAAAAAACAAATTTCTCTCATAAAAAAAGATTAAAATTTTAAATTTGAATTGCGTCAGAGAGAACGAAAAAAAATTAATAAGGAAACACTAGAATTTTATGAGTCAAAAATAATTAAAATTTCAAGTATCTAAATTTTTACAAACAAATGAAAACTTATATATAATACCACTAAAAAAAAACCTATAGGTTTCAAACCATCTTTTAAGATATTTTTGAACAAATTACTCTAAAAAAAAATGAAAATTGAAGAAATGTTGAAGATGACTGTTGTCCAAATTGATAGGGTTGTATGATAAAATCATCAAAACTGAGATTTTTTTCTGAGAACAAAGAAAATATTGATTGTAAAAACAAGAAAAAGGAATAAAAATGTTAGGTCACAAAAATGGTTTAAATAATACCTCACACTTGGTTCCAAAGTTCCAAAAATTGACTTTTGAAAACGGTAATTTCTGAAATAAATTCATTTTTTTTTTTTTATTGTTTATTTAATAAAATGTCTCAAATAAAAACAAAGCAAAATAGAATTGCTATTATAAACAAAGACAAGTGTAAACCAAAAAAATGTAGAAGAGAGTGCCGTAAAGCATGCCCAGTTGTTCGATCTGTAAGTGAATACAATTACGAATGATTTTTTTTTTTTTTTTTTTTTTAATTGTTTATTTTGTTGCAGTAAAAAAGAAATTTTGTTATTTCTTTCAAAATTTAAAGTCTCTCTTAAAAATAATTTTTATTTACATGAATTTTTAAATTTCGAAAACAAATCATTAGAACACCAACATTTCGCGAAATTTAAACGAAATCTTTTTTTGAAACAAAGATCGGACTAAAAAATGCAAAAAAACAAAAATAAAATAAAAAAAAAAGCAAAAGATAAACCAAAATCAAGTTTTTTTTGTTACGATCTTTTGATCTCTTACAAAACATTTTGAACCAATTTGAATTTACCAACATTATTTTTTTTTTTAATCCCTTTTATTTTAATTTCTCTGTTAAATAAACAAATTAAAAAAAAATTTATTTTTCTTTTTTCATCAATTTTTCAAAACAAACACCTTTTCTTCAAACAAAAAAAAACAAATAAAAAACAAATAAAAAATTCAGGGAAAACAATGTATTGATGTCAGCCCAAAGTCAAGCATTGCATTTATTAGTGAAATTCTTTGTATTGGGTGTGGGTTATGTGTCAAAAAATGTCCATTTAAAGCTGTTCGAATTATCAATTTACCAACAAATTTGGAAAAACATACAACACATAGATTTGGACCAAATACATTTAAACTTCATAGACTTCCAACACCACGGCCAGGTCAAGTTTTAGGTCTTGTTGGAACAAATGGTATCGGTAAATCAACAGCTTTATCAATTTTGTCGGGTAAAATTAAGCCTAATCTTGGTAGATTTGATGTAAAATTTCATTTTAAAAATACTTTTTTGCTTTTTATTTTATTTTTTTTTTTTTTTCAAGTTTTTTTCTTTCTGAATAAGTCTATTGGTTATTTTTCCCTTTCAAGGCACCAACTGTCTTCCATTTTTTTTTTTTCAAAAATCTGTTTCAAATATTAAAATTCAACCAAACCCCTTTTAAAAAAACAAAAACAAAAACAAAAACAAAAACAAAACCAAAAAACAAAAACCAAAAACCAAAAATAGAACCCACCTGATTGGCGTGATATTTTAACAAAATACAGAGGCAGCGAACTCCAGGGGTATTTCACCAAATTATTGGAAGAGAAAATGAAGGCAACTACCAAGCCACAGTATGTTGATCACATTCCAAGGGCTATCAAGGGAAAAGTCGGAAGACTTATTTCAATGAAGGACGAGAAAAAAGAGGCCAAGCATTACATGAAGGAACTTGATCTTATCAAATTAAAGGATCGAAGACTCAAGCTTTTGTCTGGAGGAGAATTACAAAGATTTGCAATTTGCATTGTCTGTTGTACAAAGTCAGATGTCTATATGTTTGATGAGCCATCAAGTTACTTGGATGTGAAACAGCGTTTGAAGGCAGCTGTCACAATCCGATCTTTGCTATCTTCTGACAATTATGTAATCGTTGTGGAGCATGATTTGGCCGTACTTGATTACTTATCTGATTTCGTGTGTGTGCTCTATGGTGTGCCCGGTGCGTATGGTGTAATTTCCATGCCCTTCAGTGTGAGGGAAGGTATTAATGTCTTTTTAGCAGGATTTTTACCCACCGAAAACATGAAATTTAGAGACTCAGCTTTGACATTTAAGATTGCACAAACAGCTGAAGGCCAAGATTCGGACGAGGACGAAGATTCGGATGAGGACGAAGAAAATAAAAAAAAGAAGAAAAAGGGCGAATACAGATACCCCGAGATGGTTAAAAAACTTGGGACTTTCAAGCTAACTGTTAAAAGGGGAACCTATTATGATTCCGAAATTATCGTCATGCTCGGTGAAAATGGTGCTGGTAAGACCACATTTATCAAAATGATTGGTGGCTTTATCAAGCCAGACGAAGGAGAATCAATGCAAAAGATCAAATTTTCCTACAAGCCCCAAACACTTTCGCCAACATTCAGAGGAACAGTACGAGAACTTTTCCACACCAAGATCAGAGGCACATACACACACCCTCAATTTATCACAGACGTAATCAAACCACTTAGCATCGATTACCTCATGAACCAATCCGTCCTCCATCTTTCCGGTGGTGAATTGCAAAGAGTTGCCTTGATCCTTGCCCTTGGAAAGCCCGCAAACGTGTACCTAATTGATGAACCATCTGCCTACTTGGATTCTGAGCAGAGAATTGCTGCAGCTAAGGTCATCAGAAGATTCATTTTGCATTCCAAAAAATCTTGCTTCGTCGTAGAACATGATTTCATCATGTCCGTCTATATGGCAGACAAAGTTATCGTTTACGAAGGTCAACCAGCTATCGATTGTACAGCTAACTCACCAGAATCCTTATTGACAGGTATGAACAGATTTTTGAAAAATTTAAATATCACCTTTAGAAGAGACCCTACCAATTTAAGACCTAGAATTAATAAGATTAATAGTGTCAAGGATGTTGAACAAAAAAAATCTGGAAATTATTTCTTTTTGGATAATGATGAAGAAGAAGATTAATTCCGACCACTTTTTTTTTTTTTTTTATTTTATTATAAATTTTATATATATATATATTCATATTAATATTATTAGAAATATTAACCTTTATTTTTTTAATTTTAATTTTTAAAAAATTAAATTGGATCTGCTTTTCTTTTCTTTTCTTTTCTTTTTTTTATTTTTTTTATATTTTAATTTTTCTTTCTTAATTTTTTATTCTTCCATTTTTTTTTTTTTTTTTTGTTTTTTTATTTAATTTTTTTTTCTTCTCTCTTATCTTATTTCACATTTATTTTTTTTATTCAGATTTTTCAATTTTTATTTTTTATTTTTCATTTACTAGAACAAAAAATAAAAATTTAAACATAAAATGAGTTTTTGATTACATTTCTTTTAATTCATGATAAAGTTTAAAAAATCGCAATTAATTTTCGAAAATTCTCTATATTTGATACAATTGTGAGAATCAATAAAATGAGGGTTACAGACTAAAAATCTCGATAAGCAATAAAAAAGTGATAATATCACAAATCGCGGTATTCGATACAATTGTGATTAATGCCAAAATATCGTGATCAAAACGTAATTGAGATAGAGTACTTGATAGTATTTTCAGCTTATTTAATGATATTTTTAAAAAAAAAAATTTTGATCAATATCAAAGATCTTTCTGAGAAAAAATTGTTTTTAAGAAAAATAAACAAAATTAGACTAATGATCAAATGAAAACATCATAAAGTTAAGATTTTCCCAGTCAAAGGGACCCAATTGTAGGTAGTGAATTATATATTTCATAAGGGTTTAAATCGATATTAGAAGAAAAAATTTTATTTGAGAAATTTCAAAATTGAAATCATTATTTCACATTTTTTCTCATTTTGGTTTATTTTTTTTTTCAGATTTATTTTGATAACCTTATTGGTTCTTTTGCAAATTTTGTTTTTATTGCAAGATCGAGGGTCACTTGGTAAACTGATGTTATTTTATTGCCACTGAAAAAGTAAAAATTATTGTATTGGAATCATATTAATTATTCTCAGGAATTTTATTTTTTCTTTAATTGGAGATCTAAATGAACATTGTTGTTTTTCTCAATAGTTGTTAAGAATTTTGGGTTTTTCAATTTTCATGAAAATATATTGATTTATTAGTTTTATTCCACATGCGCATCAACTATCCTCTGATGTATATTATTCTTCTTA